CCCCAAAACCCCAAAACCCCAAAACCCCAAAACCCCATTCGAATTATCATATTTTATTCAAGGATCAACTTAAATTCATTTATATTAATTAGACATTTTCATAAATATTTATCATATTTTGATGTTATCTTGTGATGAGTTTAAAAAACTCTCGTTTTCTACATTCATAAGGTTATTATATTCTAAATTTTCACCGTAACCTTCTTCTTCTCCATTCAGGTTATAGGCATTTGGCTCTCTGATTAACTCTTTAATCTTAGCTATTGTATTTTCTTTCCTTTGCTATTCACATAGTTTACTCCTTTTATACTCGAAAGACATTTTAAGCAGGCTAAAATCTTTGATTCTCTTATTAAGGCTTTCGCTCATCTCAAAGTATTTCTAGCTGTGAGTTGACATTTCATCAAGCAGACTCTAAATTTTCTGTTGATTTACATCATTAAGAGTTTGATACTTGCGCCTCATTGATTCAATTGATTCCTTAATTATCTTCAATTAATTAATCAGCTGTAACTGGTATCCCTCCATCAATTCATTTTAAATCATTTCATGAGCCTACTAAGCATTGCTAAAGTTTAGCCCATATTGAGTGCCAACAGACACACATTACTTTTCCTTTTTGACAAGATGCTCATACTTATACATATACTCTTCTATGATCTGTTCATTACTCTAGACCTTAGCCTCTATTTTAGCTATCTTCTGTTTGAGCTGATCTAATTGCCTTGATTAATCCTTGATATGTCTGATTTTTAAAGTCTCATCTTCATCAGCTTATCTTTAATTTTTAGGTATCTAATAGTTGTTATACTTTCGGATTAACTAATGTGTCTTTCATTTCAATCTAAGTTGTTCTTCTATCTGTCTATCAATATTCTTTAAGTCATTTTCCAGTGAAACTTATTTTTCATGCAATTAGGCATCTTAATGCTGCTTTTTAACTTATAAATATTCCTTTTCAAAGTTCTTCTCAAGTTGGTACATCATCTAGCATTCCTATTCAATCTCAAAGGGAGATTTATCTTGGAACTGATTTTAATGAAACTGCTGCTTTTAAATGAGATTATTGTAACGTATATTATTCCTTTGTCGGGGATTCAAATTGCTATCTCCTTTAGATTGCCTTCTGTCAATAATAAATGTTAGCGCCTTATTGATGCGCTTAAGAAGCCTTCTAAGAGCTGCATCTTCTTTTAAGAGGTAATCCTCAACTTAAATGAAGTTATCAGATTCCAAAATTTAATGAGATCTTATATCTAGCTCTTCAATCTTTTTATCTAATATGAGTAAAATCAGATAAAATTACATGACTAAATGATTAACACTTCCAGAGCAAAATTGATATCATTTGTTGGATTTGGATCGATTTAATTCTTTCTAGGTGAGGACTTTCTAGTGATAATTGATTGATTAGTCAAAACATAGCCACTGGAAGTAATATTATCCTGACTCTTAGAAATTATCTTTTAGGAAATTTTGTTATTAAAAAGGTAGCTTACTGATATATCTCTTGTAGATGAAGTTCGCTGTGTCCTCAGTCTACTAGAGAAAATGGACTGCTGATACTTTATGTTTCTTAATGTTGTTAAAGACTTTTCGAACTGCTTTCATTTTTACAGATTTTTTTAACTTTCAATCTTTCTTTAAAGATAGGGATTACTCTGAAAGATGATTGAATCTGGACTGATATTCAGCTTTTTGTGCTTGCTACTTATATTAATAGCAGATGAGTTATTCATGACTTGACTTTTTTCTCCTAGTAAAGTATAGTTGTGAGTGCATGAATAATTAATAGGGCTTACGTCTATATATTGAGTCGGCTATATTTGAGTCATTTAGAATTGAATTTTGATTTTTATAGAGTATATTTTCAAAAGTCCCTCCTCCTCTTTAATGATTCCTTCACTGAATAGTCATCTCCTTTAAAGCTTATATTTGCAACTAATACAGACATAAAGTTATTAGTATTTTACATTCATGTTGGTATTAATTGGCTTCAAAGGAGGGAGTTCATCTGTTCCATTTTGAATGAAATGCTACTCTAAGTTTACATCAAGGTTTCTTGAAATTCCATTTTCTTTAAATTCACTAAATACACTTCTATAGTCAGAAAAAGACATTTCTAAAAAATTTGTATTAATTTTATAAATTAAAAGAAATAAAATCTTAGTAGAAAAGAGAAGCAATGGCATCAAAACTTTAAAACGACATCGATCAACTTCCTCATAGACTCCCAGCCTCTCAGATGGATCATATGTCGAAGAAAAGCTGATATTCAAACTCAATGAACTCAAGAGATAACCAGAATCAGATATTTTAGGATCAGCTTAAACAGTAGAGACTTAGGAAGATTTTCAAGGACTCACATCTCTACAATGCTAATACATCTCCTAATAAATAGCAAGAAGAGAGCTTTAAAAGCCCTTAAAGGCTTCTTAAGATTGGGAATGACACCTCTGAGCAAGAGAGAATGGGATATGTATACTATGTGCCATGCAGATGGAGTAACAGTGGCTGGAAGTATGTTAACAGAGACCCCGCAGACCACAACTACTTCAACAACCCTAATCGACTGAATTTCACAGGACTCCAAACTCCAAATAAGCTATCCCCACTCTAGAAGGAGAGAACCAACTAGTCTTTTGACATGAGATCTGGAATCAAGCAAGCCTAATTCTAAGATAATGAGCAATAAATGAACTAAACCTAGTTCATGAACAAGGATAATAACATGAGCACAACATATAGCCGCTTCTTTGTCCCTAATAAGTAAGTAATTAATTTTGCAGGCTAGATATTTTACTTTTTTAAAACACTAAATAAATTAGAGTCTCCATCAATCATTAATTAGCAATTATTAATAATCAATTTAGACTAAGCGAACTAAACGATTGGCAGAAGCAGAGAAACAAGGACTCTCTTAAGATTGAGAATCTCAAGAGAGCCATTGATGATAAATACCTCAAGCATGACAAACTGGCTTGGGCTGGCACAGTCCATGAGAGAAAAACTTTTCACAAGTCTAAGGATTTCATTGCAGACTGGACAAATGTATTGTTCAGAAACTGAAAGATTTATAATATATCCTACCTTAAATGCCAATAACTTGCTCTCTAGAATTCGAATGAATAATAATAGAAGTGCAGGAGTATTGTCATTTTGGTAAAATTATAGAGTTTTAATTATTAATTTTAACATAACTAGCTTAATATTCAATAAATAAGTAAAGGTGTCATTAGTTGTGATTATCATTAACACTAGAAATTCCAGCGCAGTCATCATAGTATGATTTTGATATCATTTTTACCTAGCATTTTGAAGGTATCTCTAGACTAACCTGATTCCTAATCCTCTATCTCGTCTTCATCACTATTACTATCTTGATTACTTTGATCTCTATTTATTGAAATATTTTAAAAGCTACTCTAGTCAGATTATGTCTCTAATGTATCATAACTACTTTTGAAGCTTTTTTCTTTTAGTTTTTCACCCTCAAGTCCATCGCAGTTCTTAAATTCACCTTCCTCTTAGTCACCCTTGATAGCAAAAACTTAGAGTTGAAATTCATATTTATAGCCAAGTTTCTTTAAAAAATCTTGCTTTCTAAACCCAAAGACCCCAAGTAAAGTCCTCAACACCATATTTTCACTAGATATCTTCTTTTGAGCCCAGAAATAAAACAACACTTGAATCAGTCCACAATTGAAATTCAAGAATTAGCAAGTGAATACAAATATATCTAGAGTGATATAGCCATAAGTGCACCAGACAACTGCATTGAAGCAAGTAAAGAGAGCTACTGGAAAATTGATGAATCTATGGTCTCTTGTTGCAATAACATTAGCCTATTTTTGGAAACATTATTTACATTAAGAATTTACTTACTATTTTCTCTAAAGGAGATACATTTGAGGTGACAGATATAATAGATCCCACTAGTCCACACAGATTTACTGGTACCTGATTAATAAGAAATGCAATAGCAATTGGTATAAGTATAAGCATCATGAGTATCTATTCTATGCTCTTCATCACTGCCATGTACATACTTATTATAATGATGGACATGCTCATTCCTAAATTGGATTAGCTTATCTGATTTTGCATTTTGATGCAATTTAGAGACTTACCAAAAATATTGTTGACAATAATGTCCTAATTTCCAATTTTATAGCCGTAAGCCAGCCATACGATGTTTGTAGTGAGACCTGTCAGTAGGTAAATATAGGAAATGCTATCCAGTCGCTTAACTTTCTCCGAGTGACTCAGGGAGCAGAATAAGAAAGTAGGTAGTGGAGCTATGTTAACCAGCAAAGAAGTCGCCTAATAATAAATTAGTATTTGAATTTTAATGCTTAAAATGAAAGTTGCTCTAATAGATTCTTACTTGGCCCAATTTAGCGAGGTAAAATGTGATGTCTAGAGGTGCTGAAGATATTGACATTTCTGAAAATATATTTGTTTACAAATAAATTATTCAATTTTACTATTGTTTCCTAAATTAAACTCGTGGGGTTTTGGGGTTTTGGGGTTTTGGGGTTTTGGGG